CTCTCTCTCTCTCTCTCTCTCTCTCTCTCTCTCTCTCTCTCTCTCGTTCCTTCCAATATCAATTCCTCGCACTCCACTCTCCCTCTTTCTTGTGCTTCCTCTCCTTCAGCCGCTCTCTACGCCTCTTCCGCCACACCTATTCCTCGAGCACGTGCAAAGCGATTTTCCACCGGCCGGAAAATCGACGGTGATAAATACCCGGACGGCGCTCGTTGCCATTGTTGCCCGGATCCTCGTCAAACAATGGGGCGGATAGATAGGTGGTACCGCGACTTGAATGCGAGGAGAGGAAAATCGGTGAGCCGCAAGTGTGCGTTTTACTCATCCGAGACGTCGTTGTCTTCCTCGGCGAGGAGGTGGTTCGGTCGTGCTCTCTTCCTCTTTCCAACTCCGACTCTCTTTCTCTCGATGCATTGATCGGCGACGAGTTAACCCGTCCGTCCGTCTCGAGCGGTCCGCGACGAAATGTCAACGAAGTTGAACGCGACAGACGCGCTTCAAGCCGTTCGTATCCACCACCACGATACTTAACTCGGCCGTGAAGGCGGGATGCGCCAAGTTCAACCAGCTTTTGACTCGGTCGAAAGCTTATAACGTAAAAAGGAGAGATCGTGTATTTACGGGAGAATTCTTTTCTTTCTTCTCCATCTCTCGAGTCTTGCGGGCAACACAAACCTCAAGTTCGATTCTTTCCTCCCGTTACGTCCTGTAACTTATTTACAATACTCGCTACTGCTGCTGGAGACTGCAAGAGGCGGTTTGAAAAGCGACTTATCAGTGCTCTACTCCTTCCAAATCCTCAGCCGATACAAAGATCCGCAAAAAGCCGCGACACGTCCTTTACAAACCGACGACAACCGGATCTCCGCGTCGTTCTCCCGTTCACGAGCTTACACAAATCCTATCGCTTAGCTCACCCTGTGACCAGATCCGCCAACCCTCTTTTTTTCGGCCTTCTCGCGACATGGGAAGCGGGGAGGGAGGAAGGGAGGAATAGGGAGAAGGAGAGAGAAATCGTCGCTGTGTTACGCGCCCACAGTCCGGTTTTTCATGGTTCATCCACCCCCGTCCTTACACAGATACGGCTCAGTAACGAACCGGTTAGCATTTCTATGGGAAATCGAGAACGCGGTGGAGAGAACCGCACACCCTCGCCCGTCCATCCGTCATTCTCGTATTACGAGCAAACTCGTCAATAACACTGCTATGGTCGCGGATCTCTCTCTATAGTTGCAACGAGTCTTCGCCGCAGATACTCGTTGGCTTGCTTGGCAAGCCCGTATTTTCTTTCACTATCTCTGGGCACGCTGTGGAAAAATTGGCGCCGCTGTGAAAATTGTAGCGTCATTACTTCGGACAGCAAGTTTCTTTGCGATGTAACGCCCATTGTTGCCTGACTTGCCCGTCTCGAATCGATGTTCAGAGATTCTTCTGCGCTGTTTACTCTTACGTTTCGCGCAAAAAGTGCGAAAGCGCAGCGACGACAGTTGCAATAATGCTAAACGTCCGTCGCTTTGATACTTCTCAACTAGAAATATAACTAGCCAACCTGAATCAAAAGCTAGTAGCTAGCTAGTACAGACTAGATTACATTTTCCAACTCATTACTGACTCGTTACTGATTCCACTGAAATACGGGAAATGCGGTCTAGCCGTTACTTAGCCATTATATATCAAATATGATAAAGTAGACGGCACAGTTTATTCTAAAAAATATAATCTAGCTACATTATCACTAGCATTAAAAAAATGAGAGCAAAATTGAGGTTACGTTAGTTTCATTAAAAATCTCAAACAAGCAGAATTGGACGTAATATTACTGGCTAACAACTACTTATGGTTTTTCATCTCATGATTGCAATTTCGTTTGTTTAATCACTAGCTAACTTATTTGTCTAGGCATTAGGAGAAGTGGACGTGACATTATTGATTAGTAGTGATGTTAGGCACAAATGTATTATCTCGTGACTAAACACCGACGAGATTCAGTTTCTATTAGAGTTATTCGTAGAAACATACGTAATCGTTACGCCATTCTCGTAAACCGTAACCGAATTCGCGTCTTTGATTCGTCTCCACGCTCCTCGAAGAAATATTGATACAGTTGAAAAGTTTGGTTCGAACTTTTAGGTCAAATTTGATTTTATTGTATAGGAATATTTAATAGGAATAAATTATTCATCGAGAGAATAATCGCCGTTATAATTTAAAAACTAATATGAAACTAATATGAAAACTCTATTTAATTCATGATTAAACTTTACTTGATTCATGATTTAGTTAATATTAACTTCATTTAAGCAGTTTTATATACGTATTGCTGCATTTACCTCGACGAATGTAGATAATTTTTTTCTTTCTTTCTTTTTTAATTATGTATATTGCACTGTACCAAAAGGGTGTTTTTTCCGTAAAAAAATAAATCAAACTTTTTAATTTAAACCGAATACATGTCGACGTGATCGATTATCATGTCCTGCTTGTGATAGTAGTATGCGAATAATCGCTAATTAATATCATTATTTACGTGAATATCATGAATAATTGAGCGGAAACTCGAGATACTTCGAATTCTGGAACGTACGTCGCCGGCTTGGGTTGACTGTCCTGATCGAATTGGAAGGACTTTTTATACAGTTCTCCCACTTGTCCCCCGCTTCGTCCGCAAGCATGGCACGTCGCGGAATCGCCAAGGAACGTGTCCTCCTGCTTGCGATCCCATTGATGCCCGTAATGTGCTGAATGTGAGATATTCCGTAATCCATAAAGATGTGATTTTCGTAGGAGTGCGCGCGGCGATTCCGCGCGGCAATAAAAGCAGCGTTTACACGGTGCCAGTCCGTTTCTATCGAGCGCCATTGAACGTTTAATCGAGAATGAGAAGACTATTATTTTCTTCGGTGCAAGCACCGATCGTCCGTCCTCCTTCCTCTTTCTCGCCTTAATCCCCCCCGAGCCATATGCTTTTCTCCGAGGACAGCAAATGGCATCGTGACCATCGTAGTTGACCCTCGTAATAAGGTGCTCATAATGATAACGCGATCATTCGTTGCGTCGACAACGGAATTTAGATAGCGGACAACGCTATAATTTAGATCACGATGAACGCTTGACCCTTCTTCGGAATCCCATCGCCGTTCTCGAGGGATGTAGGAAGAATGTTGCGCGTCAGTTCGTCTTGATCCAAGTTAATCATGCGTCTCTCTCTCTTTCTCTCTCTCTGCGCGCGCACGTTAATTTTTCATATTATTTCGATATATTTTATTACGTACATTTCAGTATAAATGATTAAAACTGTCAAGATATTCCGCGTGAAACTCGTATAAACTACAATGAATCTCGCGAGAAATATCCTTGTATGAAGCACATAAAAAGTATCAGTGGTGTCAAATGTATCTCACAGGGCGGCTAAGTAACGTTAACCGGGAATCAATTTCTTTCAAGTCTCCTCGTAAATAGAACAATTCTTTCCGCAAAATCTGATTTTCAGTCCGGCATTTCGAAAGAAGCTGCGCTCTAAGGCAGAATGCCGAGCAAGTTTCAATTACTCTCGCCGAGACTCCTCGATCGTTTCATCAAGAGCTCGTTTTCTTGTTTTAACCGAGTCTCTTCGCTCCATTGACAAGAAGAACGTCCACGACTGAGTTTTATCCGAGCCCGGGGGACAATTTGGATGACTTCGACTGTCCGCCTGCGAGGTTCCTTTGACTAAGGGATAAAATGCATCGTGTCCGGTCACGTCATTCTCTCGATTCATCTCGGGACGAGATAAAGGGGAAACGTCGCTAAAGCTAGCGAGCTAGCTAATAGCGGATAGAACTCGGCGCAACGGCATTCGCGTGACCTATTTACGTGTTCACTTCTTCATGATGCGCTGCCATGTATATCACTTGGCAGTGATTCAAGAGAGTAGCGTATAATATAATACCTATGAAAATTGCGACAATACTCGATGCCTCGGGGAGCCGCATTGATTCAATCCACGCGAATATTTCGCAAGCGCCGCGGAATTTCATTGCGGGAAAAAGAAACCGCATCCGGAAGTAGGGCGCAAGAGAGAAAAAGGGAAGAGAAAGACGGGGAATAATCTTGAAAATTCATCGATCCGCACTCATATTCCAAGGCTGTGTAATATCTTCTCGCATCTTTGACGCGTTCGCCAGCCACTACGGAAGTATTTCTTCCAACTTATCTCATGGTATAACAGAGTAACAGTGGCGGATAGTTCCAGGTAGTTTTGCCAAGACGACGCGATGTAGCGCCGTCATTTTTGCTCAGCATTTTGTTCAATATTCACACACACACGCGCGCGCGCGCGTGCGAAAAAATAGATTTTACTTATAATATATTTTCAGAAAATCCTCGGGAATTTGAGATTCAATTGAGCAATCGCTATTATTATGCACAAGAATTAAAGACGACGAAATTCGCGAACGATAGAAAAGAAAAGTACAAGATAAAGACAAGATATACTTTTCGCGAAGAAATTTCTGTACTTACGCAAGCAATTTTTAATCAATCACGGAGGAATTAAATTTTCTCGCAAGTTATTTTCCACTCTTAAGTTTTTCCTCCGTCTTTCAGCGTGCGACACCTGACAGAACAAAACTGATAAGATCTAACAGCAGGGCTGCAAACTCGAGGGGACAGGGACGGAATTTATATTAGAGCGAGTTATATCACTCTGTTCTTAAAGTAATTATCCGGGGAGAGAAAATGAAGAAAGCACGGCGGGGATGTCCCGTCGTTTCGCCGTTCCTGAATCCCGCCGCTGGTAGAAAGCGACCGCGAGTCCAATCCACCCATTCCCACCCCTATCGAAGCACCCTCTGCAACTCTTCTCGCGGCTCCATCCTATCCTCGTGAGCACCCGCCGCGAGTGAGAATTGAATTGGCAGCGACTCAAAGTGCGGCAGAAGCACCCAGAAGAGGGTTCGCAGGAAAGTTGAATCGCGATACAGTGTACGTAGACACAGTGCAGATAGACGGAGCACACCCTATCCCAACTCTCTCTTTTTCTTCGCAACGTACACGCGTCTTGCGCTTACCGAAATATATTGGTAGCATTTACATACATGAAATATCTCTTAGCAAGATAATGCGCGCCAACAAATTCACTTTCTCCACTTCTCATTCCGTGCTTTTCAATATTCTAATTTTCAATATAATCTCATAGCGATATAACGTACGGCTCAAATTGAGAAGAGAAACAGACGCGTGCAAGGTTTGAAAGAACCTTACCGCGATCTCTTGCACTATTAACATAGATAAGTGATGTATGAGCAAAATTATTAAGCAATTCAGATCCATTAACAATTCTGTCTTTGTTGAAACGTCAATCGTTGTGGCAAAACAAAGTGGTCGGTAATTTAGCGATAATTTGACGCATCGGCCGGATTTCATCCAACCACCAGCTAAATTAGCAACAAAAACATCATACACTGCAAACAGTAACATCGCCGCCTACTGAATCACGATCGATCGATCGATCGACGCGCATACGACGCACGCCCAAAAGAACGATGCCGATTAAGCCGACGTTATTGCCAGTCGGCAGGAAATGAGGCGTTTATCGATCGCAACACACACACACGCGGCATGTATGCGCCGTTAACGTTACGTAATTATTACGAGCGTAATTGCAAAACATCAATCGCGCGCAAGCGAAAATGCTGAAGATGCATTAATCATACTCTGATCGATAACTCATATGGAGAAGTGAAGAGAATCGCTTGTTATTATGTAATAAATGCCGCCTCTGTTTGAATGATAAAAAGCCCCACTTCAAAAAGCACCGCTTCTAAAGAAAGGAATTCTTGTCACGCTGAATAAATTCGCGAAATAAATTCCGCTATTAACGTCATAAAACGATCCTGCGGCCATAAAACGGTGTGAATAACGATAAGTGTATTATCCCGGATACAATGCGTATCAATGATAACAATATGTATTGGTGAAATAATCGACTTACCGTCCCCCTACTTGAAATAAACATGATGTAAACACTTACCTGCAACAAGAGAAAAATCGACATTAATGAAATGCAAAAATTAGAATTATTGCAATCAAAGCAGAATTTTAGTCCCACGTTAACTCTACTAATTCGATTGAACACTATACATTGGCTATCGTCCTATACTATGACAAATGCCTAAAAGATAAAAAATATTTTTTCAGTGGTTACTAGTAATATATATTTATATAAATCTAAATTTTTCTACATACATGCACTTAAATAAACTATTGATTTCATGAAAACTTAAAGAGATTTCAAAAAAATATATATTCTCTTATTTGGAAAATATTTTATATTAGTACAAATAAAAACATGCTATTAATACCCACCGAATAAATATTTTTTATTTTTTATCTGGTAAACATTATCAGCAACATAACATCAATGTTATAAATTGCTCAACAGTGTAAATACGATATAACACGAGTATTATATAATAGTAATATTGTTGAGTATGAATTTATAACACTGATGTAATGTTAATTGATAGGTATTTTTTACTACGTATTTTTTCTCTCAGTGTATCTTGCTACTGTTACAAATTTTTACATATTGAACTAATCAAATATTATAAATAATCCTTGAACAAATGCTTCCTCGAGGTTCGTTAACTCGAAGAAAAGCAATCACTACTAAGATAAGATGATGATAGTATTCTATCTCAAGATTCTTCATTGGTCATTCAAATTTGACGCAAAGTTAACGTAGAACGAAAATTTCGTCTCAGGATCTCAGTCTTATTATTTTAATTGGTTAATTTTGCCGCGATAGATATTCAACGACGCCGACATTGTAAATCCGAAAACAATAAAACCAAAGCGCGAGATATATAGCGCAGAGAGGATGTCGAGTGTAAAACGGTGGCGGGATTTTCGAAGAAAAATAAATGGCGAACATTGTCTCAAAGAAAATCCTCGAGAGAAACGTTATCCGCCATCGCGAAAATAAAGCTCGCCGCGCGATCGTTGCCAGGACTGGTAGTCGAATTTCACAGATCTGACCAGGACGATGCATTCACACCCGCCGCACAGTGTTGCGCAGTGCCCGTTCTAATGGACAGAAGTCGATATTTAAAATCTATTTAAGATAATGATCTAAAATTTTGCATATATAAATTATATAGGAAAACAAGAAATGTTTTGTTGGCTAAATTTGGAACGATTAAAACTGTGTGGGGTAAGAAAGTATATCATTTATGGAAAAAATCAATTATGGAAAAAATGAGATACATTTATTTTTATTATTATTATTATTAATTTATTTTTATTATTTACATCACAATAATATATAATATTATTATAGATGAGATTGATATTTTACATTATTTAAAATCAAAATTATATTAAAAAGTATTTATACTGTATCACAAAGTAAAAATTATATAAATAGGTAAAACAAAAAAATAGGAAAACTATTAATAGAAAACAATTAATAAAACAATTTTAATGGTGATTATATTTCTGTCTAAAAAATATTTTGTCCACCAATTTCTGGTGGATTCAAATGGACTCGCTAGCGCTCGTACCCTGCACTTGCATTCTGGCTGCAGTTTTTCACTTCTAAATTGCTTAGGCGCGCATTTGCGTAGAAAGTCTATTTTTCTCATGTAAATAATGCTTCGAATTTACAATGTATATCAACATTAACACAGTGTAATTCAGTGTAGGTGACATAATTAAACATTTCTGTTCTTTTTATGGAATTTATTAATAATTTGTTGCGTGTATGAAAAGTATCAAAACGTATAAGAACCTAGGTTATATTAGCTTACTAGAAGACCAATATATAGGTATTCTTAAACTATGAATTTAACTGTCTAGTATTATTTTACTGTGAAGTATATGAAGAATATTTTGATTCGCTCCAATATCTGGAATTGTCAGTTTGGTATTTGATAACAATTTTTGTGTTATTTATCATACTTCACAGACATTATACTTTTGCTTTGCAAGAAGAAAAACTTTCTATGTTAAGTTTCATAAAACGGCTTTTCTCCATGAAAACAAGGCTCTCCGCAACATTGTGCGCCGGCTGAATTTGCAATTCGCCGCGAACACTCTGACCCGCATTAAATTTAATGCCAGTATTTTCGGTCTAACGTATAATATTATCCGTCTCGTTGTCACCGGTCGCAAACCTCCCCCCTCCCCTTCGCGCCACCCAAGCTGCCTGCGCGATATCCTCAGATTACCGAAAAACACCCCGAAGGTGTAAGAGGAGGGATTAACATTTCGGAACCCTCAGCCCGACCATTACTCTGAGTTTATTCTCTACCCCGAGCCCCTCAACTCTTATAAATTCTAACGATTCTCTTTTTTTCATCTCGTAGCGATATCGCAGAAATCTCCCGGCGTCGGATTGACGTTGAATTCATCATACGTTGCGCACGAGGCATTATTATTTAACATTATTCACACGCGCAAGTACACACACACACACACACATATATACATATACATATACATATATATATCACATAGCAGAAAATATAACATATTGCAGATTTACATAACGCATACGCGATATCCCTTGTGAATGGACGTAACTTAAATAGCCGGCGGGACGGCCGCGTCGCACGAATAATTCAACGTGGAAAAACTTTTTTTCCCAAAGCTGCTTGCGCGCGACCGGTTATTTATTAATCCGATCGAGCCAAAAGGGAATCCTAGTGAAATCGCGCGACCTAAACGCGACTAATAAAACTTTCACATAGCTAGCGTAGGGGCGCACCTCGCGGAGACCGCGTTTCCGGAGTGCATATCCTCCGCGTACGCTCCCTACTTCATCCCGTTTCATTTGCTATTCATAAGAGAGGCCACGCGCGCGCCCGAGGCTCTCGCAAATAGAAACGCCATGCTACTAGGCCTCCCCTTCCCCTTCCTTCGCCCCGTCATTCTCTCCTTATTTGTTCTGGACGGTGATTCTGCGAACTATCCCTGTGACACCTCCGCGTCTACCATTGTTATCTCCGTTTCTCTCCTCTTTTTATTCCAAAGTCCACCCCCGAAGGCTGCATTACTCGACTGCGCTTTGTCTTTGACTTAGCCGCGACGCGGGCTTACCGGTAAGCTCACGGAGACAGCAACCGCCACCGGTTACTGCAAATCTTTAGCCGTCAATACGATGAAAATGGCGAAGCGCTCTGTGTCGTGCCGCGATGGCGTATGAGAATTTAAACGGATGTCTCGTTTAAGATACAATCGAATTCGCGAACGTCGCTTCTAGACGAGACGGTATCTAGGAACGGTGCAGTTTCCAGGTAGCGAGTTAATTGACGGCTAATTAGGCGGAACTTTCATGGACCATTAGATTCGGCGCTCTCTCGCGAGTGACGTGCACCTCCATGTGCGATTCCCATGGACATTTGTAACGTATTAGATTGGCTCGTGTTTTGTGAACAGTCGCAGGCTTACTGGCAGCTCCCATCGTGGGACGCATCCCGCACTAATGGCGCAGGGGTTAACACTACTATAACTATCTAAACTAACTGACTATCAAATCTACATTGCTACCTGTGCAAGAGGTATCTCGCACGGTAACTACGTGTGACTACTGTGACTTCGCAAAGCAAACGGAGAGTCGTCTTCGCAGTAATTGAGGAGGCAATTAAGATAATTACACGTTAGGGGTATTTAAGCGATGGCGCATGAGTTTGTCTACATTAGTCTTCAGTTAATTATTAGAGAGAGAGAGAGAGAAATTCTTAGATAAATATGTTCTTATGTAAAATATATACTTTTTTGTACACACACACACATAGAAAAAAGTTTGCTTGGATGAACTAATTTTTGGTGTGAAATATAAACGATTCAGAAATTCTTAAGTTGTCAGAATTCAGATTTTAAGATTTCTGGTTAACTGAACGGAATTCTGATAATTTTTAATCGGGGAATTAAACACAACCCCCTCCCCCCCCCCCCCCCCC